TTACCCTCAGAAATTCCCCTGATTAAACTGTAAAGAGATGGAGAATTTGTCCTTCTTGCAAAAGAGGCAAAGAATTCAGCTTCCCTAACGCATGGATATTGGGGAGCTGCCAGAAGCCAGGACTGTCCAATCCTTCTCCCTGATAGCACGAGTCCATTGCAGCCATACTGCCAATGACCCTTCCTTCCTCAGTGCTGATAAGTGATCAGTCTCATGGAAGGGGCCACACAGAAAAATGAAATATGTTTTTTTTATCAGCAAATTTTTATTGGTTATAGTAGGTGGGAGGGAACAAATTATTAAAATGTGTGTTACAACAGTAATTTTGAAAGCTCTAGAAAAAAATGCACGCAGCATTACTACAGTTGAACAAAATGAGAGAATTTCATTTTGGGTCAATGTAGTGAGAAAGGGTAGCTGCTCACTGACCCAGAAGGGGAAGAACCCCTCTCTGAGCCTGGGTGGGTCAAGTCGTGTTCTGCGCCTTTAACTCCCTGGAAGCCAAGGGGCAGGGCAAGTAGGATAAGATCCCAGCCCGAGAGCTCAGTAAGAGCCCAGGTGCCGAAGGAAGCAGAGGCCTGCCCTAAGCTCCCAAGCCAGGAGGGTCCTGAGGACCTTGCCGAGGCTGGGCCCTTGCACCACAGAGGAGATCCTTTTTACCCTGATGGAGGGTTCGGACTGTGTCGACCCCGAGAACCTGCAGCCATTATGGAGCCAGGTGGATGTTGAGGGGGATCTAGAAAGAGGCCCAGGAGAAGCCAACAACAGTCAGGCTTCCCTCATCACCCCATAGGGTGTCAGCATGGGCATTTATTTACAGGTCTGGACCCAGAACTAAGCCAAATGGCATATGGTAACATTTTGGAAAATGTTGCAATTTTTTTCTTCTTTTTCTCTATCCAAATTATCAAATATATTAGAACTGTAGGCAACATTTTTAGAGTTGTATTTACATAAATGTGCATGCATATGTTAGGATTTAAGCACATTCTTATTTTTACTTCTGGAAAATGTTAATTCAGAGTGAATGTTGCCTAGAGCAGGCAAATCCTCTAATCTATTAAACCTCTGAAAATCAGGATGTGCAGTGTTAAATGAGTGTTACCTTAACCCTTTATTTTCACGACCATCTCCAGACCTATGTGGATTTTAAAGCCCTTTGAAAATTAAAAGTAGGTTCTTGGGATGGGCGAACTGTTTTGGGACAGGTGACAAGCCAATTTGTTTCCTTTGTGAGCACATAGTTAGAGTTTTAGAGAAATTTTGTCTTTACGCTGAAATATTATGTACTTTTGCATGTATGGCTTTGGAAATCTGGCTGATATAGCTTTAAAGGGGGCCTGTGAAAGTTTTTCAGGTAGACCAATGATTGTTTTTATGAATTTGCAATTGTTTACTATTAATATTTATTTGAATCTGAAATTGCAAATTTAATCTGAATTTAGTATTTGAAATTTGACTCTTCTCTATCAATTATAGATACAGATAAAACTAGTAATGTATAGAGGAAGAATGTTCATTTTTGTATCAATATGGGTGAAATTGTTACAAAATAAAAGTACTCCCAGCTAATTGAATAGCTTTAAAAAGAGTTCAGTAAACTACATAATATGTCATGATGATAAGGTGTCATACTGTGAGATCAACAGGTATATGAGGCACAAAGCTGTAATGGTTCTTCGAATGTGAGTTCACAAAAGAGCCACTTTCATTTACTTAGGAAAGGAGATTTGCTATTTTTAGCTATGTCTTAAATGCATTAAAGAGCCAGGGTGGATGAAGTAGTATCTTTTATTGGACCAGTGCCTGTTGGTGAGAGAGATAAGCTGGCCAATAAAAGATAATCTCTCATCCATCTTCTATCTCTAATATTCTGGGACCAACATGGTTATAACACTACATGCACAAAGTACATTAAAACCAACTTCATGGTTCAACAGACATAATTTTGTTTTCTGTTTTAAGGAGAGGATTCAAGACAGCCCTTCTCCTGCTCCATCTCTGGAAGATAGTCAGAGGCCGGGGAGTCATGCTTCTTCACATCAGAGCAGCAGTGTGTCCAGCTCTCCATCCCAGCTTGACAACACACCAGATAGAATTGGTTGGTATTTTATTATTCCTAGCCTCCCCTCAGTCAGACAACTCCTCTGTAAATTTGAGAAATGTGCTATGAAAAATACTTCACTAAAGGAAAATTGAGAGTGTTTGTTTCAAAACTGGCTTTGTGAAGCAGTCATTTATCATTTAAAAAAACAAAGAGGATCCAGAAGATAGGATAAAAGCTGCTTGCTCATTATTGCAGAGAACCCGACCAATCAGATGATGTATCATGCACACATCAACTCAGTGTCACAGTATATTGTGCCTGCTGTGACACAACATACATATGTGTGATGGCACCCTTCTAAATGTACATTTAATGTATTTGCCTCAAGCTCAGTTAATTATATCATGACTGTAATATTTTTCATTCTCGTAGGTCTTTTTTTTTAATTTCCAGAATAGGCATCAGGGTCTGTGCATTATTTAGATGAAGGATGACCTTGTGCATGAAACACAGGTCTGGGACATGGTGATCAGGCTCTCCTATAGACAACCTGTTTGACCTTGGGCAAATTACTTAATTTCTGCACATCAGTTTACTTATTTACACAATAGCATAATATTTCTGTGTTTTACAGGTCGTTGACATTCATTTATGCTTGTAAAACTCTCCAGGCTAGGCAATGTTTCTTCATCTACTTGTATGGCATCTAATACTATGGGGTCTTGATCCAGATTGTGGTCTTTGAATGCCATTGTTATATCAATGATCATTAAAAATAATACTCTTGGAGATCCACTGTGCCCCAGCAGTATTAGACATTATTAACTATAGTAGGTGCTGCAAATAAAATCTTTGAGGTACCATTTAAATGTATCCTGAACATTTTTATAGTGGTCTATATCATTGGACCATAGTGTACTGGTGTTGAAGGATAACTATTTTTTAACTTTTGCTAGTTTCAGTCAATCATTGGCTAAAGAATATGTCTGAATATGAATAAATATAAAGTTCTTAACAATTTTCTTGACCTGGAGTGATTTCAAATTCTATAAAAATAATTGTGGAGAAAGTCATATTTTAATCTAATAACAAATAAACTAGTTATCCTGAAATTTTAAACTTAACATATCTCAATGATTTTTTAGGTGGTAAGTAAAAAAATATCTCTTAACTGCAAAAATGATTGTCTTTTCATTGGCATCCATCAATTTGGGTTGCTAACCATCTATCTTTCTTTCTTAAAATAGCTGCATTTTAGATAATTACTGATTCTTTAAATCCCCTCATCTATTAAACATGTTTATTCCCCAAAATGATTTCTGTGAAGCACTTTTATAATTAGTTAATTTGAGCATTTTATAGGAAATTGCACTCATCCCAGTGGTAATTTTTTTTCTGTTCTAGTATCTTTGTGTAATCAACTTAAGCAAATTTGCTTCTGCTGTTTATGTAAATACTTTGTTCTAAAGTTGGAGGTTTAGAATTTAGTAGATGATAAAACAAAAAAATGGCCTACCACTTAGGAACTCACTGTATGACTGCAAATTTGTCAGGATATTGGTGGTAAATATGTGATTTAATATTTTAATTCTGTATGTTAGGTTGTTGGGGTTTTTTTTGTTTTTAACTGTGAGTGTTACAGAACTGTGCTTTCTGATTTTTTTAAAGCTATTCTGACCAACACCAGAGAAGGAGAACTCATTGATCAAGATACTGGGACCAATTTAAAAAAACTCCAAAAGGAGAAAGGTAGATCATTTATTGTTTCTATACTGTGTGTGAAAAGAAATTAATAAGTCATGTTAGCTGCATTGTCCACATTCAATATATCCAGTGGCATAATATCTTATATGTATAGAGCTGACTACACAATTTGCAGTGAATAAGGTTTCTATTTAATTTAGTCTGCATATCTGCTTAGGGAGTATAAACAATAAGATCTTTGTTTTCTTGTATTTATTCATCATTGGAGAAATATTTGGCAAATCTTTTAAAATGTTATCAATTGACTAGCAGGTGAGACCTGTCATTGTCATTTTGTGTAAATTACACTTATAGGAAAGTTCAAGAAATTAAATATTTGTAATAGAATTTTTTAGTAATGTGATTGCAATAGGGAAGTAAAAGAACAGTTTTAAATGTGTAGGATTTCAACTTCAATCATTACTCATTTTATTGAATAATCACCAGACATATGAATCAGAAACTTGTAAAGCTTTCATTATACTTTCCGTAACTATTTTGAATTATTTTGTAATTTGTAACAGTAAAAATTTTCTTTACACTAAAATGACAGTTGAATAAGTGACTTGATTTTAAATTTTTTAGAAGATATTTTTATCTTCATAATAATTACTTTTTTTCTTGATCTTCATAATAATGACTTTTTTCTGATGAAAAACAAAAATACTTATTTAAAATTTTCACCCAGCATATTCTGGCTTAAAAAGTAGTTCATTCAACTAATTTACATGGCAGGATTGTTAATATGAAATGTGGTATCTGTTAGTAATCACAAAGTATGACTTTATTTTGCACAAACAAATCCACAAACAAACTCTTCAAAATATATAGGGGGATGTCTACACTAGCCCCCTAGTTCGAACTAGGGAGGCTAATGAGGGCGACCGAAATTGCTAATAAAGCACGGGATTTCAATAACCTGCTCTTGATTAGCATATTCCCGGCCAGTCGCCATTTTGTAACTGACTCTGACTAGCCCGAAGTAAATGCCCGCGTCTACACGCGGCAGAGAAGTGGGATTCCGAGATAAACCCCTTAGTTCGAATTAACTGTTACTTCTCTTGGAATGAGGTTTAACAGTTAATTCGAACTAAGGAGTTTATCTCAGAATCCCGCTTCTCTGCCGCGTGTAGACACGAGCAGTTAATTCGGGCTAATCAGTTTTCAAAATGGCTTGCGGTCGGAAATATCTGCCGCGTGTAGACACGAGCAGTTACTTCGTGCTAGTCAGTTTCCAAAATGGCGAGCGGTCGGAAATATGCTAATCAAGAGCAGGATATTGAAATCCCGTGCTTCATTAGCAATTTCGGTCGCCCTCATTAGTCTCCCTAGTTCAAACTAGGGGGCTAGTGTAGATGTACCCTAGTAGATTATGAACAGTTCTCTGCAAATATTTGTTTAGCCACCTGATACTATTTATTTCTCTTTATTTGAGTGAGTGTATAAGCACTGTTAGTGTTAATACTTGTGTATGTAATTTCTGTGAATGCTTTTTAGGCAGTATGTTTGTTTTCTGAAAAGAATCTTACCAGTGAACTCAGTTGTTCAAGTTGGGGGCAACATTATTGGCAAAAGTAAACTAGGTTCCTAGCTCCTAATGTCAACAATGAGCTGAGACTTCTGCAGTTTCTGTCTTATGACTGAGAAGTGACTGTTGTCCTTCAGGCTCTTCAGTAGTATGCCTGCTCCTTTCTCCTATTCACTCTCCAGTTCCCTTATGTCTTGTTGGAGTCCAGAGCTGGCTCCAACAACTATAAAGCTGCCAAAGCCTGAAATGGAATATTATGATCTCTCCTCTCCTATAGAAAGTTGCAAAGGAAAGTAGCTGCCTCTTCTACCTAACTTCCATTTCTTCTACTTCTGATCTTTTGGGAGATAGAGAGTATGTGCAGGAATACACCTTCTTAGTGTTTTGTTGATGAGAATGAATGACACCTATAGGCACAAAGTAAAGAAAGAAGGAGAAATTATGGATCAGGAAGAAGAGGAAGAGAGAAAGAAAAGGAAAGTAAAAGTGGAAGAAAGTCGCTATTGAAAAAAGGAAGGTGGTTCTGACAGTACATACAAAAATGAGAAAAAACAATAAAGGTAAAGAATAGGAGCAAGAGGAAGAAGTGAATGAAGAAGAAACTGATCTGAAGGAAAATGGATAATGAAAAGGGATTTGTGGGGAAAAGACAGTAGGATTTGGAAAGAATAAGAATTAAAGAACAAGAGAGAATAGAAAAAGGAAGAAGTGACCGAAAGAAGTGAACCAAAGTAATTTAAATTTATTTAATATTCAAATTTAAATACTAAAATTTTACCATGAATAAAAAAAACCTTTATTTTTTAATTAATTCATTTTAGTCTATGCTTAAAATTTAACCAGACTCTACTCAATTTAGGAGTATGGTGCGTTTGTGTGTCTGTAATATGTACACATGTAATATGTTAAAGGGGAGAACTAATTTTGTGGGGCTATGTATACCCTGCTACTTTGGCCTTACAGGGTATGTCTACACTGCATTCCTCTTTCGAGAGAGGAATGCAAATGCTGACAAACGAAACTGCAAATGAAGCGCGGATTTGAATTTCACATGATTCATTTGCATAATAGCATCCGGACGCTATTTCGAAATAAATTTAGAGATAAAAAGCGCCGTATAGACAACCACTTCTTTTGCAATCACCCTTACTTCTTAAAAAATGAGGTTTAAACGGTTATTTAGAAAGAAGGTGTTTCTCTCAAAATAACCACGTGTACACAGCGCTTTTTATCTCAAAATAGGGTATTTCAAAATATCGGCGTGACGCGATTATGCAAATGAAGCATGGGAAATTCAAATCCGTGCTTCATTTGCAATTTCATTTGTCTACATTTGCATTCCTCTCTTGAAAGAGGAATGCAGTGTAGACATACCCATAATGAGTTATTTAAGCTATGCAGACACCAGTGCATATCTTTAACACGGGGTGGGCAATAACCTGAATGCGGTTAGCCAGAATTAGCCCGTGGTTGGCTGCCAGCACTTTACTTACCTTTGTGACCACAAATATGGTTGCTTCAAGCTTCCTTTGACTGTAGATCTCTATTCCTGGCCAATGGGAGCTGCGGGAAATGGTGTGGACTGGGACCACTTGTTGTCTACCTCTGCTTTAGAAGATTCATGAAGGAGAAGCTCTTCTACCTTGAGGGAGAGAATGCATATTCTTACCTCTACTGGTCTGTGTCTCCCAGTGGTCACTGGCCTTTCCTCATACTTACTCATTTTCTGATGTTTTTCTAGTCAGTTCTTCCTCAAGGGGCCCGATGATGGGTCCTATTGAGTTCATTTGAGAACTGGTAATGAGTTCATTGAATTCCTTCAGTTCATTTGCCCCCAGGCCTTCATGCTTAAGTCTTTGTCTGTTGTTCTCTGTTGTTTTCCCTTAACAGTTTGCATTTGTGTAGTCATTATTGAACAAACCAACACCAGGAACTAAATCGTAAAGTTATCTACTGCACTTTTCTCCTCAAAATAAGAAACTGCATTTGCTGCAGTAATTACATGGATGAGTATTTTAGTCTGAACTTGCAAGTGTGGTTGATTTTAATTGTATTGAAGCATGCATGGCTTCCTGCCACATGTTTAGTCATTTTTCAGTGAAACAGTGCAATGTGCCCTATGCGGCTCCAAGATACAAGTCATATATTTGATTGAAAGTAGTTGTCTCTCACTCAAAACAGATCACATCGTGTATAATTTAATGTATTACAAAGAAATAAACCCCAAAAAATCCCACATTGAAACCCATAGAAAATTCATTTTACAAATTTAAACTCAAATCCAAATTTACTGTAGTCATTTAATATGGCTTCTAACTTTTTGCATGTAGTGTTGCTTTAAGTGCCTCATATATTCACATATCTACTATATACTTGAGAGAGTTTGTCCATCCGTCTGTCTGTCTGTCTAGACACTAACCTGCCTCCACCCCATCCCTCTTCTGTTCTAAAATCTGATTTGTCAATTTTATATGTGTTCACTTTTTTTTTTATTGTATTCCTTTGGTATATATGCTCATGCCAGTTTTCTTCCACAATTTGATTTGAGGAAGTGGGTCTGGCTCATAAAAGCCCATCACCTAATAAACCATCTTGTTAGTCTTTAAAGTGCTGCATAGTCCTGCCTTTTGTTTCAGCAACACCAGACTAACATGGCTACATCTCTATTATTATCCTTCTATACGGTAAGAGAGAGGGCCACCAAATTCAGTACACATCTTCCTCTTATAAGTTAAAGCAAGGTCAAGGTTTGGTTGATCCAGGAAAATGGGATGTGCCTGGAATGGGATTGCTTCTCAGAAAACCAGCCTTAAGCCTCCCAACCCTCAGGCGCTCTTTAGGGAGGGGGCCCAAAACTCCCTCCCCCCCATTCATAAGGGAATGTTCCTGTTCATCAGGGAGTGAGGGGAAAGTGCACAGTGTGCTATATTTTCAGTTTGGCTGGGGAGCATGGGATGCAGATGAGTCTAGACTAGGGCTGTCAATTGACCTGCATTAATGCCTGCAATTAATGCAGGATAGGATTAATGTGGTAAAAAAATTAACATGTTAATCGCAGGCGTTAATGCTGCTCTGCCTCTTTGTAGTGCCGCACTTCAAAGGGACAAGACATTAGCAGCCAGAGATCAGCTGGGGACTCCAGCTGAGCCCTGGCTCTGTCTTGTAAAGCCCCTTTGAAGTGCTGGCGCGGCACTTCAAAGATGCTTTGCAACAGCGGAGCCGGGGATCAGTCCCCAACTGATCCCTGGCTCCTAATGCCCTGCCCCTTTAAAACGCCCAAACGGCACTTCAAAGGGGCAGTGGAAGCAGAGCTGGGGATCAGCGGGGGGATTCCCAGCTCCACTGTTGCAAAGCCTCTTTGAAGTGCTGGACTGTTTCCGCTTGCACTGCTCCTTTGAAGTGCTGCTCCGGTGCCTTAAAGAGGCAGTACTGCATGGAGCCCGGGGTCCACTGGGGACTTCATATAGCGCTGCCCCTT